ACTGATGCTATTTCGGAGAGAGGTTCAAGGCCAGGCTGTTGGATGCTGATTGGACTTTGGCAGTAGAAACATGACAGCTAAGCCAAAGGTACCGGCCCTGAAGTTAGCTGAAAACCTGTCAGTTCTTGCAGAGATTTGCCCTGAAGAGCTTGAGGGACTGATTCTGCTTGTGTATCCATCCCCTAGATGGGGCAATGATTTTATTTTGCATGTACAAGGATTTCTTGCTGCCTTTTGTCTCAGAATAAACGACAGAGAAGGGGTAGGCAGCCCTGAATCAATGGCTGAGGAATGAAATGATGTACCAGTGGTTTCTCCAGGAGAACAAACCATCCAGCATCGTCTCTGTGCAGAGGAGATGTGGGTCTGAGGCTGTGCCCTTTGTGGCTAGACACGTTTTCATCTTGCCTGCTGAAAACTGCACTATGTAAGAGCAGAATGTTACTGCAATGAGAAAGCATCAGGGGTTTTTTGGAGACTCAAAGCGAAGGCAGGCAAGCAAACAGCCTTCAGCTACACCAAAAGCTGCAGCAGAGAGGCAAGGAATGAGCTGTACCCCCTGCCCCTAGGGATGCAAGGAGACAGCATGGGCTTTAATTACAGCCAGGGAGATTTCTGGCTGGCCATCAGGGAAAACACCCTGATGGGAAGGACAGGGAAGCACAGGGACGGATTGCCTGAGGAGAGCAGAGCCTCTGTGGTTGGAGGCCTTTAAGAAACGGGGCAGACAAGCATCTGTCAAGAAGGTTTTAGACAGAGCTGATCCTGCCCTGAGGCAGGAGCTGGTCAGGTTGACCTCCTGAGGCCCCTTCCAGCACCACTTTTTATTATCTCTACTGAAAACACCCCTCCTACCTTGACCCTTGCTGTGCTACAGCATGAGCCTTCTTTCTGGCAGGGAAAGGAGATAGAGGAGACTGAATTTTTAAAAGAAGAGCCAGGATTTGCACCTGCCAAAATGCTCTCTTTGAAAGCCCTTGGAGTCACCCCAATGTCTGTGTTTAAAACCTCAATAACTTAACAAAGTTAGGGTGCATGCAGCTTATTATCTTTATTGTACAAAATCATCTCAGTTTGTCTGTCTTTCTAAAGCTAGCAGCAAAATGATCAGTAAACATCACAAGCACTACACTGGAAGAGACCATCTATTGACTACAGAGTCCTGAAACCACAGGCTGACAAGTTAGGGAGGTTAATTCCCAAAAGGGGACAGACTACCCATTTTCTGTGCTCCAAACACATCCCCACAGCATTTTCTAACAAGCCTAAGACCTTGAAATCTAAAGGCTAACACCGTGCAAATCATAGTTGCCACAGGAAAAGGAAGTAGATGGTATCACAGCTCCAGGACCTGGGTCAGGTAGTTTTGGTACCCAGGTTAAGATAATAAAATGCAGATGTTATAATTCTGAATCCCACAGGTCAGGTCACTTTGACTGTCTTTTAATCCCAAATCTGACAAGTCTCTTCTGAATGGTTTTCATTGGAAGGTTCTCAGGGTGTTAAGAATACTTGCAACGTCTCCATTGACTTTCAGCTTTTCTTTGAGGGGCTAATTTTAATTTACAAAAAGCAGCCAAAAGGAGACCAAGTCCCTGCAGGGACGAGAAAAAAAAAAAAGAAAAAAAAGCTCCAGTTCCTCTCCTTGCAGCTCTGCAGGTATTTTGGGCACCAATGTGCAGTGGAAAAATCTCTTTGGCTTCTGCTTTTTGTGCTCTGCCCTTTTTCACTCTCCCACATCCCTGCCTCCATGCCAGGCTTCGGTAGGGAAACATCATATTGATTGTGATGCAGGCAATTAAACGGTGTTAATGAAGTTCAAACAAGTGTTATCATAAGCTTGGCAGCATGGAGAGAAATGAAAGGTCAGCCACGGCCCTTTGTCATCTTTTCCGTGTGGTGTTGAATGCTAATGAGACAGTCCCAATTAGAACAGGCTCCCCTTTGTATTGCTTGGGGATTGCATCAAATGCTCCCAAGTTCTCCAGATTTCTAGGCTCAAAGGGGACATTTGAAGTAAACTTGAAAAGATGCAGATCTGAAGCTGCTCTAATGTAAATTCAGCAAAGCCTATGGAGTTTTACTAACAGAAGTCAGATGAGAATCTGGTCTACCATTTCCATTCTTTTCCTCTTTTTTTTTTCCAAGAGACTCATAAAATGGTAATTGAAAAGCCTCCACCTTGTTTTAGAACTATAGTCTGACTCTTCATGGCTTCAACAAAAGCCAGATAGCCTGTCCCCATTTTTTTGGGTTAATTCTCTTCCCTCAGTCAGGCCTCATCTCCTGCTTCAAGAAGCCCAAGCTGTGGCTTCACTTAGACACCTTTTAGCCATGTGTTGTCTCAGTGAAAGAGCTCTGGGTTTGTAATTTGAATGCTGAACCTAGTTTTTTCCCCAAAGCCAGGATTTCTCAGCAGGATTGTTTCAGCAGGCAGAGTCCACCTCTTCTTCCAACCGTGTTAAAACCTCCCAGTTGAATACTGTGTGGAGATAGACTCTTGGTCAGGCCAGGATCTGTAGCTATTCCCTTCCCAACGTACAATCACAATCTAAAAAGATGGAAAATGAATATTTGGAGGAACGTGCTTTGACCTATGCCTCCTTCTTACGACCTTGGCTTCTTCTGCCAAGGTCATTCCCTGCTTTGAGTTTTGTGAGTCCCACAGGCACTCTTCACACTGAGAACCAGCAGTTGCAAAGGGGACTCTTGGAGTAACTCAGCTCAGCTACTATTTCAACAGAGCTGTTAAAAGTCAGGAGCAGTCTTCACTCCATAGTGCCTTCAAGTTGGCTTACAATCTACCACTGCCTAATTGCCCTCTTATAGTTCCTTCTTCATCAAAGAAGTTCATTTGATTTCAGGTTCTTCTGATTTTCTCAACTGCTTCTTAAACTCCCCAACCGAAATCTTTTTATCTTATGATTTGCTCTTTGAAGGAGTCTAGTGGTCTTGAAGGATGTCATCTCCAGCTGGTGCTGACTACAGAAATAGCTCCAACCAGTACTGGAAGCCTTTGGATTTGGAATAACTCCCTCAAAGCACAGTTGTAGAATGGAGAAAAGGAATTCATTAACTCGGGGTAGAATTGAAATTAGATTATATTCATCCTTGATATGTTTTTCCTTTGATCTACCACAGCATCCAGGTGCCACAGGCTTGAATCAGTGGAACTGACACACAAATATATAAGCAGGGCAGAAGTTCTAACCATATTCCAAAACCTCCAGCCTCCCCTTGGGCTTCAGTTCAAGTTGTCAGACATCAGTGCAGGCAACAACCAAGCACATGCTGGGCAGAGAAATCCAGTGCTGTTTACTAGCAGCAGGAGATGTTATGTACCTCTTTTGCAAACGTGGTTATTTGGGAAAACTTCCAGGGAAATGCAGCACTTGTTGCTGAAGATCACTGGGCAACAGGATTCAGCTCCAAAAAAAGTTGTAAAGTGAAATCAATACTGGAAAAACAAAAACAAAATGGAAACTGCAGCCTTCTGTTTATCCAGAAAAAAAGAAAAATAGAGAAAAAAAAATAAAGTGTTGTGTGGGGAAATACACTGTTCTCCACCTCTCTACCTCTGTTTGTCACACAAATAGATAAAGAGTCAGCCAGGGTCATATGCTAAAGTATTGTCCACACAAACCAACCACCCACTACAGGCAAGGTTGTTAAAGTGAGTGTTTCACCTTTGGGTCACTGTTGCTGCAAACTGGATTTCTAAATAAATCTCAAACCCCTTTTTTTTTTTCCTCCATTCAAGTCAATCCAGCAATCAACCTCAAGAAGTGCTAAGAAACGTGGATGTAACACCAGAAGTAGGTCATAATTAAGGCAGGTAGCTTCTAAGAGAGTTACAGGTTGCCTAGAAACGACATTTGCAGATGTGTTTAACCACATCTAAAAATAATTGACCAGACAAACTGGAGACCGAGGGGAGTGTTGTCAAAACTGTCACCTACTGCTGAACAGGGGAGAGGGCTCTTTGATCAGCCCCATGCTCTCCTTTCACAAAGTGAAAGGAAACCATGGCCACCAAAGGAAATACAGGGGTTGACATCTCAGCGTGCCTACAGCAGACGTCTCAAATAACCTGCATGACATGATATCAATTTAATGCAGTGCCTATGAAGTCATCTGGAGAAATGACTTAGAGCTGGGTGGTGTTGCATGGGAATGATCTGTAAGATAACCCCAGCTTTGTATTTACAGAGCAGTGATCATTCTCCCTCTGTGCTGTCCCCAAACCTCTCAACGACACCAATGAACACAGCATATTGGAAAACAAGGCACAGCTCAGCCTCTGCAAGGCTTGCTCCTGCTGAAGTCTTCTTTGCTTGTCCTGGGGAAAATCTTAGAGAAAGTGAAGCCTGTAGATACTGCAGGAATAGTTATCTTGGTCGTATTCCCTGTAGAGCAGCTCGGTCAGACACAGATCTTCACTGCAGTAGATTGAGCAGTACAGCAACAGGTCTTGCAGTTGTGGATAAAACACTTGGAAAGACCTCTGACCTTTCAGAAAATACCTGCAGAGCTTCAGTCGCCAGCCTGTCAATCTTATGACATTTCATTCAAAGCACAGAAGGGTCTCCAAGGAAAGCTTCTGGGCTCAGAACATGGGGAGATAACTGTAGGGCCCCTGGGATCTAGCTACAATGATGCTCAGAACAGCAAACCACAAGCTCACGCACTTCACAGGGCTCAGACACGTCACCTCCCTTTCCTTCCTCCCTCCATCACTTCTCAACAGTTCCTCCTCAAGAGAAACAATGATGCCAAACACCTTCGGTTCACACCTCTAATTAAATTCCCATCTCTGCTGCAAGACACGTGGGAATAAAAGGTGAACGTGGAGCTTTCTATTTAGACAATAATCAAAGAAGAAAAGCCCAGAGATAGCTACCAAAAGCAATACTGACCATGCCTCCTACCTCCATCCATGAAGCAGGGCCTCATTGTATCATATGCTCAATGGCAGTCCAATTTCCAGAGCTAAAACCCACCTTTCCACCCAGTTCTTGTAGCTGGGGATGTCCTTGGCATAAAGGAGCTTGTTGGAGGGTGAGTCTTTGCCCAGACGGTGCTCTGAGGTCGAGCAGGAGTCCATGAAAGTCTGAGCCACTACAGAGAGGCAGGCATCTGTGATGCTGTTCTTGTGGATGTCGAAGACAAACTGGGGGTTCTTGATCATGTTCACCCAGAATCTTAATGGCAGGCTGCAAGAGAAGAGGGAGAGGTCAAGAGGTGAGTCAGTTGGTGCACGGATCTCAGGCTTTGTTGCCTGAGGTCGCAGTGGAAGATGATGGCTAGGAATCAAAGATCAAGGTGGGGAGATAAGGATTCTGGGCTAAGCTTTGATGTACAATACATTCCATCCCTACAGGACTGTTGGGATGGCCGTGGAGTCACCTCGAGAGTGGCTTTTGTCCCTGTTATCCTCACCAGCCAGATCTCGTGTGTCTCAAAGTCAAAGTCATCTTATTGAAGTTGCACATAAATTAAGGGGGGCATAACTGAGGGGACAAAAATGAAGGAGAGATTATCTCTACGTTAGGTTGTCATGCAAAGTGGCACCTGTTGGCTGCTTCATCAGACAAGGGTAGGCATTGCCTCTTCAAAACTTCTGGTGGTATTTATCATTGAAGGACTTGGCTTGTGGCTCTCCCAGCAACCCCATGGGAAGAGAGGTAGGTGAAGCTCCAAGGTGGAGAGGAGGAGCATTAATGGCATGCACTGTGTGCTGTGGCCACTGTGTACTGTCATCCTCCTCAGCTCAAGCCCAAACCTGCTTAATGACACCAGCATGCTGGGCATGAAGCACTCATGATGTGACAGAGAAAACGTTGCCTCAAGGAAAAAAAAGAACTGGGAAACAAGTGTTGCAACCTTTGAAATGAAAATATCTCTCCCCTAACCAAGGGAATGTTATTCCAATTGCAATCCAAAGGCCTTTCCCCCCCCTACCCTTTTTCTCAACAAAGCATTCTGTGATTCATTTGTATGAGGTGCCTCGAGGTATCTACCTCCAGCCTTTGCCTCAAGCCTTTTTGTCAGGGCAAATGTAGTCGTGTGATTGTGGCCCAGAAGCTGGGATGTGTCACTGATCACAGAGTCCAACCCTTGTCTCTTTGTCAGGGAGACTGTTCAGTCTACCTTCAGTGTCTGCACCTTCCCAAGAGGAAGTCATTCTTCAACTTAAATTCACTTGATGTTCAGGCTGAACTCCCCAGTTCCTCAGTAGAGTGTCCTGACAGAAGGGATGACAACACGTTCTCCTAAACCACCGTGTCCTCTCCTGAGCCAGCAAAATCACAGAACAAAGGTACAAGTGCCACATGGGTAATCCCATCAGCCAAGTCCAGGAGAAGTGGGAGATGCTGGCAAGGAGACCTGACAGAGCAGGTGGGGAGGAAATATTTTTGGCTGAGAACTGGAGGTTCATCTGCTGGGGGAGGAGGAGCAAACTATGGAGGACTTCTGCAGGTATTTGGATGGCAAACACAGCCACAGTGAGGCCAGGGCTGCAGTTCTGAGTGAGTGAGGGGCTGGGGGGACCATGTCCCTGGCTGGGACTAATGAAGCCCAGGAGGTGACTTTGAGTGAATCAAATCTGATCGAGCAGATCTCTCCATGCTGCCCCTTTTCCCACACAGACACACACTCTGCCTTCCCCTCTCCCCCCTTAAATAAACCTCCTGCTCATTTAGTCTGAGTGGCTGCAATCAGCCTCAGATTAGTGCCGCAGATAATGTTAATAATATGCTAATGTTTCATTAGTTGAAAGCCTCTTTGGTGCATGGGGTTTCTTTTTTTATGTCGCTGCTCTGTGAGGAGCTGCCATCAGCCTGGCTGGTAAAAGGAAAAAATGCATGAGCTGGGAGCCCCATGGCTCTCCTCTGCTGTTCCTTTTATAGTCCCTCTATTTGCACAAGAGAAGGGGAGGGAGAGATTCCCCAGGGGACTTTTTTTCCAGCAGGGAGACTCGGTGGAGAGGAGCCACGCAGATCTTTTCTCTCCACCTAAAGCTTTTCCCTGCTGTCCCATCACCTCTACAAAGAGGGGCTGCTGCCTGGCACCTAGAGCAGGGGGCTGATGTCAGACTGTCACTCACTCCAGAGGAGACTCACATCCAGCTCCAAGCTCTTCAAGTGCTTAGTACCATTCGAGGTGCTCTCCAGCTGTCAGCTCAGGAGGGTACAAGTCTCCTGTGGGTGGCTGCACATCCCCTGAGGATGTCTGGGATACATTGAAGTATCTCAGAGGCATCATTAGATGCCTACGTGTGGGCGAACAAGTGGAGAGGAACAAAAACAAACAAGAGGAAATGGCCTCAAGTTGCCCCAGGGGAGGTTTCGATTGGATATTGGGCAGAATTTCTCTCTTGTCAGAGTGTTGAGAAGTTGGCTCAGGCTGTACAGGGAGGGGGTGGAGTTCCCAACACTGGAGGGGTTCAGAAAACGTGTGGATGTGGCACTTGGGGACATGGTTTAATGGTCATGGGAGTGTTGGGCTGGTGGTTGGACTTGATGATCTTAGAGCTCTTTTTCAGCCTTAATGACTTTGTGATTCTACGAGTTCTAAGCTCCCTCTGACTACAGTGGGAATTCAAACACCCAGCCTAGGTGAAGACAGTGATGCTGAATCTTCTCCTCTGCATCCCTAGATGTTCCTATTGTCCTGAGCCCTCAGGAGTTCACCACTTCACCATTTTTTCTCATGAGGTCCCTCAGAAATATGGCCAGCTTCATGTAACACAGGCCAAACTGGGACCTGTTTGGGCAAAGCACTCCACTCTCGAGAGCATCCTTTAGATTCTGATATCTTCTGACTTCCCCATCAGCTTGGGAAGACTCAACCCGATGCTCTGAAACACAAACCAAGCTCCTCAGCTCCCCCAGCAGCCAGAACCCAAACCACACGTCCCTCTACTCTCCTTCCAGTCCAGGATGTGGTGCTGGATTGTACTGGGGGTGTCTCACTCACCAGTTGCTCTTCCAGGTGTGCCGCACGTGGGGGTCATGGATGTTGTGCTTGTCAGCCTGCTCATCCAGGAAGTCAAACATGTACTTGATAGCCAGGGGAAGGGCACTGCCACGGTGAGCAGTGCTGAAGATGGTCTCAAAGAGGTCATCTACAAATTTCTGGAGGGTGCCCTGTGGGGGGAAAGAAGGAAAGATGAGTGTGAGATACCAAGATGGTGTTGAACTTTGGTACCCCATTGAAAGCAGAGCATGTCTGTGGATCTGGCCCAGAAAGAGTGATGGAAAAGTTGAAGCCATCTAATATCTGCTCGATGTGACATGAGTTGGAAATTTCAAGCAGGCATGTGCATCTTCACCATATCTACTACATCTGGTTAGCAGCCAGATGTAGGAGGTCAGGATCCTACCTGTCCTCCCTGCTACCTGGGCCAGTTCTTTGGCTGGAAATAGAAGCCAGGTGACTGCAGAGCAGAGCAGAAGGTGTCATTGAGATAAATAGGACAAGGATACGTGGAGAGAGATGGCTGGTTTATAACTGTGAGTTGCATAACAAATAACACAAACTTCACCTTAAGAGGCCTCCTCATCTTTCACCACCCGTTGGCGTGGCAGGCAAACCACAGGAGCAATGCATGGATGTGTCAGGTTCTGCTCTGCAGACCTCAGTGATGTCAGTGTAGAGACTGCACAAGTCTCCTCATACTCTTTTGGGAGCAGAATCCTGGATCCTGTGCTTGAGGAACCACCCTGGGCAAGCCAGGGAGGAGAGCTGATCTTTAGCAAGAAGGTGAGGAGCTTGATCAGAAGGTGATCAGGCTTGGAGAAGGAGCTGTGATGAGCTGGAGGCAGGGTTTGAAGGGCAACCAGACAAGTCATGATTTCCCTGCTAAATGGGGAGCTAGAGCTCATGTTTGACCCTCTGCTCTACCACCAGAGCTTCATAGGTGTATATATGTGTAACCAAACCATACAGCTGCCAAAATAACCTCATTAGAAACAAAGCACCAGGTTCCACCACAGTGGCTGGAGTTTACACAGTGCTAACAAAAACTTAATTAGAAAGCTGGTGTCTCTTGCTGATTCACCACTTGATTTTTCTCTGGGAAACCATCAGAGGTACCTTTGGCTCCTGTGAACTCCCACTCAGTGAATAAAGCCCTGCAGCATTTGTCTGAGTCAGAAAGGGCCCCCCGAGGGGGAATCTTGTTGGTTTGACATGGAAGAACTGCCCCCAGGTTCAGTTTCTGGAGGGGATTAGTTCTCTACATGCTCTCACCCACACAAAACCAAAGAAAACCTCTGAGGCTTTTAGGCAAGAGTCTCTAGGTCTCAAAGGTCAGGGATTTACCAGAATAAAAAATCATTGCCAGTTTAACTAAGTATTCCCTAGGATTGCATTACAACAATTGCTCTCTCTCCTCTTTCAAAATCAAATGGTCGTGATGAGAAAAGAAAATTGCTCAGCCCAAGAGGGGAAACAATAAACCCTCAGCCTTCCCACTCTCTCTGTTGCTGTGCGTGTTTCACAGCTGCTTTCCTCCTGAAAAAAAAAAACCCTCCTGAGCGTGGAGTTTGTGATCTGGAACAGAAAGCAGAAGTGACTCCGTGGTGGGGTAGGGGCCGTATCCCCAGAGGGTGTAAATCAGCACTGGTTCAATGCTTGCTGCTTTACACCAGCTGGGGCCCAAGCCCCAGGGAGCATCCTCTGCTTGGCACGTTGTGTGATCTGTGAAAGCATCCTGATGCCACGGAGCTGGGCAGGTTCCAGGGGCTAAAGACAAAGGCACTGCAGCTCCAAATCCCACTGTGAGGCAGACAGCCTGAGCGAGGCTGCAGGGAGAGTGAGACATCAGAGGCAACGTGAGCTGAGGAGTAAAGCTACAGGTGAAGCTCTATGGTAGGACTCCAGCCACTCAGCTGATGGGTAAATACAGATGGTGTTTGCATCAACACACCACGTTGTGTTTGTGCCTATTAAGTCCCTAACTAGAAGTCAAAACTTGAGAGAGGGTTGGAAGGTTGGGCTGTTGGATCACTACTTGGGTTAAACTCTGCTCAGAATGGGGTGAGGTAGCACCGTGATCAGCCACGCTTGAGCTACCCTGAAGTTTCCACTTCTGGGATGCTTTGAGGTAACTCTTCTGTTAAATTTGGGCACAGAGAAGGTCTGTGCTGCAAGAGGACAGCGTGGCACTGCCTTCTTCCCCACCTGCCCTAGTCCCTGCTGGGGTGCAAAAGATCATTGCAGCCTCTTCATCAATCCAGGCTTCTGCAAGGAGACCACCATCCAGAGGGTGGAGGAGCAAATATATGCAAGCTCAGATGATTGCTTTTGCCTAAACTCCTGTAAAGCTTTTAGAGGTGATTTGGGTGGAAGATAGTCTCGGTCAGAGATGAAAGAAGGTGAAAGGTCAGAGGTCTCTTGTCAACCCCAGAATGAGCCACCTGCAGCAAGAACCAACCACCTGACTCCCACCTGACTCAACCTGCATTTTGGTTTTGGATATTCTGAACTTTCCATGTCTCAAGGGGATGGGCATCTAACTCTGCTTGTTCTCCTTGGAGCTGGCCACCTACATCAGAATCAACCTACCAAGTCATCAGCACAAGAGTCTTTATGGGCCCAATGGAAAGGTAGAGAAGAAGGAGTTGTACCACAAAACTCAGGGGCTTGTGGCATAGGAGCCCATTTCAGACTGTGAGGCATGACTCGTCTTTGGAACCTGAGCTGAGCATGTTGACTCCCTGGCTCTTCATTTGGTCAGTCCTGGTACTCTTGCACTATTTTCCTTCTGCTCTTCACTCTTTATCCCTCTTTGA